TTATTATTTTTATATCTCCGTGACTTTACCGAACAAACCAAAGAATATGAATTCCTGCATTCACGAAAGTTTTCAGCAAAAATGTAGCTCCATTTTATATTAGAAATTAACCAATCATCTCTATTTTGGTAAGATAAGGTTACAATTAAACGGATATTATATATACATTGAAAAAAAATATTTTGCGCTGCTTTTTTTGCACAATGCCCACGACCACAGCCATATCCAAAGTCGCCGTCCATTCACCGCAATGTATGTATGACACATGAAGTGCAATCCCCACTCTCTCTCTCTCTTCACTTTGTCCAAACACGTCCTGCTGTGCAGTCTCTGGTATTCACTCAGTATCTATTGCCCCGTGACTCGCAGATGACAGTGAGGCGAATATCGTCGAGTTGTTTGTGGTCTCTCTAAAATGTGTTTTGCCCACTCTCCAAGTAAGGGCACGCCATTTTGAAAAAAGCAACTGGTATTTTTACAATGTGGTATTTTTGAGGATATTTTTGGGGTGTGTTTTATCCTAATCCTTCGAGCACATGTGATTCTCAAGTTACAAGCGAATTAACCGGCAAATGATATTTCAAGCAGATGGTTAAGTAAATCAATCATATATAAATGATAACATAAACCAATTGTATATTATTGTTATTGATATCAATGATATAGAATGCTTAGGTTTGGTTACAGGCTATAGGAGGAGCAGAGGCGTTTAAACCTCCCGATATGAACCTTCTATCTTGCCAGCACAAAACATCACATTCATCCAGTTGAGAAATTACGGGGAGGGGCAGGGTGGGGGTTAATAAGGAGAAAGAGGAAATATCTAAATAAGCATGACTTTAGTAATTGACTACTAACTATGAATCGTTTACAAAGGTTTTCCCTGTGCGTTTTTCAGTTGCACCATTTGATGCAACACACAGTTGTTGGAATTGCTATGAGTTAGAATTTTGCCCAGGATCAGCCCATCATGCTCCTGGGGACAGTAAAGTGGATACACACACCTGATGTGACTGCACCACTTGATGGGATGTTACTGATGGTAATAGTAATTGTTATTTGGGGTGGTGTGGTAGTGCAGTAGTTAGCACATGGATTAGAGCTCAGGTCGCAGCCTCGACTGACATAATTGGTAAATGATATGAGCCAGTCCTGGTTCCCGCCAACCTGCACTGACCAGTAGTGGTCAAATAACCCCCATAATAACTTGCGTGAGTGGCCTTCATCCCTAACCAACAAGTGTAATGGGGCCTTCGATTGACAAACGTATGTTCATCATTATTACAGTGTATATATTGAGAAAAAAATGTTCTCTTTAAATATCCAGCTTAACGATGCATGATGATTTTCAATGGTATTTTTTTAAAAATGCCTTATCCATGATTTTGAATTTTTTAAAAATGTCATTTAATGACTAGATGACATGGTGAAAGTGCACCACAGAGCTTTCAATGATGGAACTTTTAGACATTATAGATTGCTACTGTAATTGCAATGTCTCACTACAATGATATATAAACCTCTTCAATGGCAACACATCACTTTGTACAGCCCTTCTACATCAAATGAATACCCATTTTAATATCATCTTTTAATAAATGCACGCAAGTCTTCAAGCTGAGACACTAAACTAAGGTGTTGTATGCTCTATTCCGTGGATTCCACTGTGATTATCGAACGACACTCATCATTAGGAGCAAAATTCACGTCTGTAAAAGACATGCCACTATACTCAAACCCACAGGTCAGTACGAAATTTACATTCCAGTAACAGTGACTAACATTGGGATGAAGTCAATACACTCATACAATAACAATAATGTTTCAGCCTCTGTCATCGTCAATGCTGGCTGAAAGGCTCTCGTACGCTATGTCGGCTATGGAGTTGTTTGTCCATATTTCACCACACCGGACAGTGTGGGTTGATGGGGGAGACTCACGACAGGTAAAGATACAATTTGCCACGGATGTTAGCCGTGGCAGGGAATCGGATTAATCGAGCAGTGTGCCCACGACTTATCGTAGTAAATCTGGGTGCCGATCCACCCATGTTCAATAAAATTCACAAAAAAACTCAACACGTGTGAAAAATATATATAATACGTGACATTTAAAGCAATGGCCCCTGTTCACGGCACATATGACCACGCATGTTCACATGCATATTCAATGTAATTAAGCCCGTTTTGAAATAGCGTATGAATTGTACTATGCTTGTCTCATTGCCATGACAGGACACTGCCTATTATATTTTTATCGTGTTTTGGGGTGAGGATGTTTCTACGCTTGAACTAAAAAGCTATCGTTGCTCAACTGTGCAGTTACAACAGAGAGGAACTCATCTCTGATTGTCCATGGCGATGTGGGGGACAAACATTACAGATTCAATTATTTGCGAATAAACTCCACTTATCCACAAACAGATTCCGGATAGTATGAAACACGGATAAACACGGATCATCGGAAGAAGTATTTCCCTATAGCTAGATGAGGCATGCTTTTATACATGTGGATAGAATGGAACTATACCTTGTGATAAGGATTGTGGCTATGGTGTGTAGTCAAACGTATGCGAGAGAAATAAATACATGATTGGATCATTTATTTTGGTAATAACAACACAAACCCATTTCTGAAAGAAAAAAAAACATGGTCTAATTCAACAACGTGCCCGTGCACATGTTAAGCAACTAATTAGCTGTATTCAACTTTGTTCCAGTGCTCGGCGTTCTGCACGATGTTAGTGAGCACGCTTTGTCTGTTATAATCGCCACCCGTCGGGGAGTCGCTTTACGACCCGTGGATGGAGCCGTACGCAGAGAAGTGCAGAAGAATCCTCAGCCCCAATGGATCGTGGCACTCCTAGACCCAGTGGCGCAGTGATGCGCGCATTGAAACGGGAAATTTGAGTTAAATTCCTGGCGACGGCTAACATCAGTGGCAAGTAAAATCTGAACCTGTCCTGGGCACCCTCCCCCCCCTTACTAACCCACACTATTCCACAATAGGAGATGTATGGTCAAACAATCCCCACGACCGACATGGCATGGGGGAGGATTTAATCCAGCAGTGGATTGAAAAAGGGCCGTACATTTGCATGATTATCATTAGGAGCGTATTATTATGCTTACATGTGAATGGACGCCGAGCGAAATAGAAAATGTTGCATTGTAATGCGTTGATGATTTGGTACCCAGACAGCACCTTCTTCATTCCTTCAGCACAGGAGTTCGATGTCTCTTAGTTTGACCTATTCCTTGGTTCTCGCCACAACCTTCCTCGCGAAAAGATATAAGCGACGTTCTCCTGTGGTTGCAGTTGGCCCACGGGTTGTCACTCACGTGAACGTGACGTTCCCACCACCTCGCAGCTTCTCGCTACATGTGGCTAAGCCACATCGAGGCACCATGATTCAACGATTACCTGCTTACGTAATTACAAGAACATGTTTTGCATTTCTATGGGCTAAATTATCTATTACGGTAATTTTCCGCAATTTATATGTTACAAAGTGAGAAAACAAATGCTGTTATTCAGTGTATAATTGCCATTTTATACAATACTAGAATTATCGGGGTCGGAGAACGGGGGCGCACTATACCTACGCACTCACCTAAAGAACCTAGAAACCTGAGTTGGATTCCCGGCCACGGGCTACAAAAGTGGCGGCCTCCCTAACCCCCTTTCACCAATCAGTGAGTAGGGAGGTGAAGTAAGGTCAACAACCCCCATCACCATCACGCCATGGGACGACCTTCATCCAGCAGTGGATTGGAATTGGAAAACAAAGGCAGAATTCCACAGGGGAACGATGGCGCAGTGCTTGGCAACACTGCGCAATGAACGCAGCGGAACCTAAGTTTAATACCGGGCCAAGCCAAACATCAATGACAACGGGTACCGTATGCGGATTGCTCCTGCACCCCCCCCTGCCCCTCCACCGATCAGCGTGGCGAAGCACTTTATAGTCAAGCAATCCCAATAGTGAAGCAATCCCCATTGTCCGTGCGGCATGAGGAGGCCTTCTTTCAGTGGTTGAAGTAGCATGCGGCTGAAGATGATAATTAGCCTATTTTGCAGGGTGCGATTTGCATGCGTAACAACTGGGCCCACCGTGAAAATGTAAAAGGATGAACGCGCTCGCTAATTCAGCCGCTGTGTACGTCGCCGAGTATCGGTTCTGCCGCAAAAGGCGAGCAAATGATGCGGGTGATTACCAGGCACTAAAAGTGCGCTGCTGTGTGATGTAAATTGGACGCTAAATAGCCCCGTGACTCAATTACAAAGATGACATCTCCGTGCGCTCATGTCAAGGACCAAATCGCTACCTGTTTATAACCGTAACTAAAATGTTAAACTGTTAACACGTTGCACAAGGCTACGTGTGGTTCACTGAATTTCAATATGAAGGGTTATCCGGTTTAACAAAAAAATTATAGTCGGTATGCGCACGCAAAGACACACGGGGTCGGTGTGCACTGCACTTTAGAATCGGCAATGGTATTGAATATTCGCAATATGAACAAGTTGTTAGTTGCGTGCAGTTGGATGCGTGAATAATACAATGTGGGTGTACAGCAATTTGGTGATACTGCATTGGCAGTGGTCCATAAGCAAAGTTAACAATACACTCAACAGATTCGTCAACAACACTCACTGTCTTATAAATAAAAAAAAACAGAATCGGCGACGTTTCAAGCATTCGCCCTTCTCCATGTGTTGTGTTGAGGGTTTTTTTTTTCTTACGGAACCTGGATATTCTAAATCGTCTAAGGAGCGGTGACCTGAGTTCAATTGCGGGCCACGGCCAACACCAGTGGCGAGTGTTTTCTAAACCTTCACAAACCCGCCCTGACCAGCAATGAAGTATGATCAATCACCCCCCCATCCCTTAACCGACGCGGGTGGCCTTCATTCAGCAGCGGCCAGACAAGAGTGTGCTGACACTTACGAGTATTAAACATATGACCCTGACAATCACAGAAAAAAAACATTCTTACTGCGGCCCTTCTTCTTGACCTCCTGGAGGATCTTGCGTCGGTCCACGCCCTCGCTCTCCTTGAATGGGAAGTGCTCGACGGTGATGTTCTCCAACTTGGTGAGCTCCTGGTAGATGCCCTCGGTGGCGAAGAAGCAGGGCCGGTCGTCCGTCTTCTCGTCGTTGAACAGCAGCATGGCCCTCCGCGTCCAGTTGAAGTGCGCGTGCAGTCGCCGCACGTAGCCGCCGAGTTTGCCGTGCGAAGGCCCCGCGCGGGTCACCAGGGCGTACGCTCCCCCTTCCTTGGTGTCGAACCCAGAGGCCGTGGCCCCGGCGGTCAGCAGGGGCACCTTCCAGTGCGTCGTGAACCGCGCCACGGGAGCCGCCGGGTAGACGCAGCCGGGCCCCAGGAACACCGCGGGGTTGTGCTCCAACTTGAGGTCGACGGCGGCGAGCGGCGCGGCCGACTCGGAGCACTGGCCGTGCGCGTCCTCGCTGTTCCCGTACACGGGACGCAGGCGCAACGCGGGCGTGAACGCCTCGGCCGCGCCGTTGACACGCTCGATGGCGAGCTGGATGGCGGGTCCCACCCGCCGCCAGGCCCACGCGTAGCGGGTGTTGTTGAGCGGCAGCAGCACGGCCAGGGTTACGTTGACGGGCTGCTGCTGCTGCGGCTGCTGCTGCGGCTGCGGCTGCTGCTGCGGAGTGTCGAGCTGCCTCGCGGCGCCGACGCCGCCGGCGAGCAGCAGGAGGATGAGGCACGGCGCGCGGAGAGGGGCCATGGCACCACCACCACCACCCAACGGCTGGGGTGAAGGATGTCTTCCCCTCGATGGATGTCGTTCCTCTCTCTGTCTCTCTGTCGCTGTGTGTGTGTATGTGTGTGTGTGCGCTGGGCAGAAGTCGTCTGTCAGTCGCTATCGGCTGCAGGGCGCAGCGCCCGCCGTTCGTTCAAAGGAAGCTCCCGGCAACCACCACCGGACCGCTCCGATGGGTGCGGGATTGAGGGATGAGGCTGAGAGGGGGGAAGGCGGCGGCGGTGGTGGTGGTGGGGGGAACCCAGATTGCGGGCGGGCAAGGAGTGGGTGGGTGGGTGGGGGGTATTTATCGACACGCAAGACTGTTTAAAATATACCCTCCAGGTCAGCCTCCAGTGTCCCTGCAATGGGGCTCGCACTTAATCAGATGCGCTCTTTTGCGCACGTTCTGAGCGCAGCCACGCGTGGCCTGCGGCTCCCGCCCCCACGTCCGTCCCTCTCCAAGCAAGCAGCGGCTCAGCTTCCTCCCCCCCCTCCCAACCTCTCCTCCACACACCACCACCCCCCCCCCCCCCCCCGGACGCATTTGCATTCAGTGCGTCCCGCCGAGCCGAAATAGGTAAACAGTGGCGGTCTGCGGGGTGCGGTGGCGGGCCCCCTCCTCCTTCGCCTCCGGCTCGCGCAGCGCTTCGAGCCCCACCGTCGGAGCCGACGGTTCACGCCGCCTCGCTAAAGAAAGCGCAAAACGCCGCTGCCGCGATGGGCACGGTGCAATTTGGGTAAACAAATTAAATAAATAATCGCGACATCCACCATACCGATGCGCGCGCGCGCGTGCACGTGCTCCGGCTAAGGTGGGTCTGATGCGACGATGCTGTATATTGTTTAAAAATAAAAAAAGCAGCAGTCACGTAGCACGATTTTGTAACACGCAGTGTGTGCGCGTGTTTCTCTGCCGCCCAACGCTCTTCGAAGCTAATTGGGACTCCTGGCTGCGATGAGCCGAGACATCTTTGCGGGCGCCAAACTGCGGAAAGACATTACCCAGACGTATAGAACATTGATAACGCAACGCACGCGTTGCGCTCGAGAACGTGTTTAATAAAGCGTGTAAGCCTCCGCATCATTCTCACATCACACCAAAAAAAATTTGAAAAGTGTAGGAAAACGACGACGAAAATACATTCGTGACCGGATTTCATAAAACACAACTCTTAATGCGTCTTGTGCGCTGATCTCTCTCCACGCGGCCAATTGCAATTGTTCTCGAAGGGCGCCATCATTTGAAATACATTGCAGAGACAATTAAATGTACGTAATGAAATGTCACATTTTAGATTTGTGTCAACATATGCGTTGTCCTTATCTCAGCCTCCCTACATGTTGCCCCTACTATATCTGCAATGCATACAGATACTATTGTACGTTGAATCTATGTCCTTTGCGTCACATTTCACTTTCTGGGGTGTACGTACACCTATCAGCATGGCGATACATTCGTTCTTTACAACCTTGGATTGTGCTCATTTCACTATTGAGCCGAATGGCTCACAGGGCTATACCAAAATAAATAAAGAAAGAAAGAAGAGCCCGAGGTGTGAGTCTCAATCGGATAACCGCCGCTTAGGGGCCGTCCATAAATGACGTCACGTGATTTTGGACGAGTTTTGACCCCCCCCCTTCGTCATATGGCGTCACAAAAAGTCAGACCCCCCCCTCAAATATGACGTCACAAAGGTCTGCCCCCCCCCCCGCCAAAAATATAAAACATGCTTCAAATCGCTTTAAACTATTGTCATTGTCGTGCGTATTTAATGTGGCGCTGCGCTCTGATGTTGTAGGAGAAAACGTGTATTAAAAATTATTTGATTAAATAGAACGTGTTGTCTATATTAATTTAAAGTTGCGCATTTTGATGTGACGTCACATTTCTCAAACCCCCCCTCTTCACACATCGTCACAAATGTCTGACCCCCCCCCCCCCCCAGGTGCGTGACGTAATTTATGGACGGCCCCTTAACTCGCCAAGTGGTGTTCTGCACAAGCTGGTACTCATTTCACTAACTGCAGATTGAGCTGTGATATAAGGGTGGTGTTTACTCTGCAACAGAGTTTAACACACAAGCTTACAACTGAGAGCTTGTATACCGTATTCAACATCCCATAGCATATACCATGTGGTCAGTACATATACACTTTACAGTGCATTAAATGTGTGAAAATACAGTATATCAATGAACATATACACAACGCATACTCTCATAAAATGCACCACGCACTCTTGGGCAATGAAATTATCATTCTGATGAGACCCAGACGGTCGAAACCAGTTCAGAGTATGAAAGATCGTGCAGTGAATTAGAGCAATACGCCATGAAACTGACCACCTGAGTTCGATTCTTGCCCGTGGCTCCCCCTTCACGAACACACAAGTGCCAGCGTAGTGAAGTACGGTCAATCGATCCCTTTGACTGACAGGGCGTGGGGAGACATTTATCCAGCAGTGGAATGACAAAGGGATATCCTGTATAAGGAAAGCGATGGTCCAGTGGGTCGCGCACTGCTCTACAAGTCCACCCGCCGACGTTCGATTCCTGGCCACGACTATCATCAGTGGTGAGTAATATCTGAACCCATTCTACACCACCTGTTTCACCAGCCCGCACTGGCCAGGGTGGTAAAGTATGGTAAAAAAAACATGACCGACACGGTGGGAGGAATTGACCAAATTATTTAAATAATATTTAGAAAAAGATGGAAATTACTATTTTCATATACAGTATGACAATATGCCTTGGAACTATATAATGTATTTATGAAAGTATTTATGCCATGGCCTCCTAAAATGTTGTATAGTATGTGTGTGTGTATGATGCATCACATTGAGGAGACTATGACTGCCTATTGAATGTGGTGTGAAGACATTTCTCTATCCATTTGCCTTTTGTGATCGCTCCATGCATGCGGTTGCGTCTGGCATTCTCCCCACATTCGGGTATTGGACCACAACCACATGCGATCCAATCTCGTCTGGTATTCACCCTGGGCAATTGCTGCTCTTCCTCGCCGTATAAAACCCCTGGGTAAATATCGGGGGGTGAACGAAACTCGATTTGGGAAAAAAAACACTTTCTGGTTTTTCCTGCCGCATGGATCCAATGATACGTGTTTGGCAACGTAGGTTTAAAACATTATTTTGTAACTCAGGCAAAAACATCGCAAAATGTACGTATTATGTTTTTAAATACGAACAATAATCTGTAGATGTGCCTACTCACAATACAAATCGACAGGAAGTACTTTTTAAAGATCATTTGCTTGGCATTTGCCTGCTGAGATCAAATGCATCAAAGCAAATACAGAGCGAAAGCAGTGATTTCCAATGGTAAATATATAGCGGTGGCCAAACAAAACGAAGGGATTGTGTCCTCGCCCAGCAGTTGCTGCACTTAATTGTCTCAATGTGTGGCCCAGCTTAAAAGAAAATTGTAGGAGCTCGGGTGTCAGGAAATTCATTGATCTACACCATCGTGCAAAAAAAATTACGGTCATTTTTAAAAGCACATTGTAGGCCGTTTTCCAGCCTAGTAAGCCACTGAATCACTTGTCTGCTGGATATGCAACTGTTGAAATTGTCTGTAGAGAAAAAAAACAGGCCTTTCAGTGCAATATGAAATTATAGTGGGTTAAGTGGAAAAGCAGCGGTTCTTGCAATGACGTTGCAGCCTCATTTACATAAGCCAATGGAATTTTCACCCCATTGCTACAAGCTAGCTCAGCGGAGGATCGGCCCAGTTTAATCTTTTCCATACACAATGACGCACGTGGAAATTCGCCGATTTAGATATTGCCTACATGTATTAATTACTTAACCCGTGACCATCATGAATGAAATCCACGATATTAAAACTCTAACAGTGTGACAATTTAAAGACATGCTTTGGTTCTTTCGGTAAAGTCACGTGACTTTACCGAAGGAACCAAATAATAATTCCTGCAGTCACGAAAGCGCCAAAACAAATTTAAAGACAGTTTAAAACTAACACTTTTAATTTTGACTTAAAACTTTCGTGACTGCATGCATTCATATTCTATGGTTCTTCCTGATGACGACCGCTTGTGTTGCGATCGAAACGTCGTGATATTTTTATTATTTTTTATTCACTTTATTTTCTTTTTTTTCTTTTTTTATTGTTATTATTTTTGTATCTACGTGACTTTACTGAAAGAACCATAGACTATAACACTATTAATGCCACAGAGATAGAAATCGCAGAACTCAACCCAAAAGTGGTTTAAGATGTCATAAACAATGAGATAATGTAAATAGTAAAAAGGAAGTTGATTAATCGCAAATGATATGTAGCTCTTGGGAGAAAAATATGGAATCGGAATGCATGATATAACCAGAATCATAAAACTAGTGGATGACTTACATAAATCTCCTTAGATGAGGATGATAATGTCCAGATGTCACATCTGAAGAACTACTTATTACCCTTTGCGATATGAGAAAAGCAAAGCTAACAGAACAGATGGAATCACTAGACATTACCTGATAAGCCAGACTGGCTGTTAACATAAAATGTGCAAATTAATTTAATAAATGTTTTCGCAAAAAATTGATATATACATCGTTAAATGTTTCAATCGTCCTGTTTAAATGTGAGACAAACCTGATTTTACAAAAATATTACATTAAGATCATATCAAATATATAGATGGTTCAAATGGGTCTTAAGGAAATTAATCACGCACGTTTAAAAAAAACAACCAAGAAAGTGGATTAGCTACACTTCAGAAAACATTTCCACAATTGTCTACGTACTGGTAATATAGTCCGGGACTTTCATGTATTGTAAAAAAAACATTAGATTCCATGCAAACCGAAGAAGTTATAGAAGCTCTCAAAAACCTTAGCCATAAATAATATATATGCATAAAACGCATTTGCAAAACCATTCACATTTCAGGAACATGAGGAACATTGGGCATTGAGACTGCATGAAATAGGCAAGATACAAATTAGGAATATGAGTCACATGAGGAGATACGCTCTCACCAAGACTATGCACATCAGCTTTAGAATATAGTATTAAATAAATAAAGGCATATACACACCAAGGAGAGAGTATGAGCTAGCTCAGAATTTCTGAAGACCAAGTCATGGAAGACGAAATAGCTTGTCATTTAAATGTCAAGCAAGGACGCATGGTCTCCTACTCCCTGGTATACATCATCGCCCAACTGAGAGATATTGTTTTTCTAAGTCATCATCACTGAGAAATATGCAGCGTTGCCTCAATGCCACTCATCAACCACACGCCCCCCCCCCCACCCCCTTGCCTCACCTCACCACCTACCTCCACCCTCCTGTGCCATTAAGTCAGGTAGCCCCTAGCATCCTGGACGTCCCAAATAAAGACCTCATTTGGGACCCAAACATCGCACCTCCTGGCTTTGACATCCCTCGAAGACACTGG